TATACCACCATCAAATCAATTAGAACCATTACCAATTGAACATCGTTCATCAAAATCAACACAAACACTTCGTAGATATTCAATAAGAAAAAAATCTAAACAACATTCAATATTTGTATGGCGTCCTAATTCCGTTATAAAACGACCGTCAGATTTAGAATTACATTCAATAACAAATACAGGTACAGGTGAACAACGTATTGTTCGACGTTTACGACGTGATAAACGTGCAGCTACATCACTTTTTACTTTAGTACTTGTATTTATGTTTTTTTTATTACCTTATGTTGTTGTTGTTGTTGTTGGACGAATATTTTCATTAGAAGTATTAACCGATACTGATGGACAAGTATATTCAGCTGCTTTTTGGCTTTTATGGCTTAATTCAACTGTAAATCCTATTCTTTATCCATTTATTCAACCACGTTTTCGTGAAGCATATAGAAAACTTTTCTCAAGATTTATAAGACGACGACGACGATTAGTTTTACTTATTCATGATATACAACGAACTAAATGAATTACTTAAAATTTAATTTTTATTATTGTTAATTATAATAGTTTCGAAATTTTTACATTGTAAATATAAATTATTTTATTTAACAATGATTATAATTGTACACGTTAATAACTATGAAAGATTATGTTTGATATAAATAATACAAAAAAATAATAAAAACATGAACATTGAATTAATAATTACATCATTTTCTTTTTGTACTTATCAAAAAAATGATCAATATAATTGAATAGAAAAAAACAGTTTAGATTACTTCAACTCATTTTAAAAAAAGTAGTTTCAATGATGATATTTAGTATAGAAATAAATATTTTATATGAAGTATTGAAGAATTTGTAAACGCATAGAGAAAATTGAAATGTTTTGATATTTATAAGAGAAAGTCGCTATTATGTTTTTGTTATGTTACAATCTTTGATTTGAAAGCACAATGATTTATTCTTTTTTGCTTAGTATAGAAATTTAGATTTTCATAGTTAAAAAATTATAATTTTTTTTTTCTTGATCAATATTAACCTTAATTGACCGTTCTAGTAGGGATCTCGACAGTCAATATAGATTTATTTTTGTGTTCAGATAAGGATATTTTAATATAGGAAAACAATTTAACTAATGTGTCAAAGCTCAATGCTTCTTCTATTGTTAATGAAAATTTTATAAAAACGGTTTCACTTGGTTTAATTAATAAAATGATCTTTGAGATAGTCTCGACACGAGAATTTGATAAAATTCATCGAATAATGACCCGTAATACTGACGAATTTAGGATTTTTGCCTCACGAAAAACGTCTATATTAAATGCCTTTTTTTAATCAAATTTTTCTTGAAAATCTTACAATTATACCCGTGGGTGGAGAAGAGACAATATAAGCTTCTCTGTATTTCAGGATTATAGTGGATTGGACTTCCCTGTCAGTGACATGACATATATATGAAAAGCTTTATTGGTTAATTAAAACAACTGGATTATGATCGATAAAAATAGTAAAAAAAACTAGAAAAATGTTTAAAAATCTCCTATTTTATGAGCTAGAAGTATATCATGTATTTTCATACTAAATATAGTTGTATTAGCATCGATCAACCTCGGATTATCATTTGCAATCAGAATATATTGAATCAAAATTTGTAGTCAAAATATCCGATAAAAAAAAACATTAAAATTTATTTATATTTTCAAATATAAGAAAAAAGTGATTTTTTTTGATAAATACAATTTTCGAATATTTTGCAAATTATTGTTAATATCAACAATACTTAAAAAGAAATAAAACATTTTTATGCTATTATTATGACGGTAAACTACTCGAATGACAAGAACGTTTTTTGGAAAAAAAATAATATCTTGTAAGTACATGATGACATGACGAATTAGAACTTCTCGTTTTCTATAGTTAATTATTTAGTATAGGACAAAGATCGAATGCAAATAAGGATAGGCTTAATCATTTTCATAAATTTATTCTTAGACGAGACCTTTATCATAATAGAGTTACATTACATGAAAACATATTCATGTTATTCATCAGCAAAAGCTTATTAACATTAACAGTGGTAAAACAATTGACAAATGAATTGGGGTTTTTTGACATCACATATAGAGATTATGATGAAAGCAAAACAAAGTAGATCTATATGAATAGGTCAAATGTCAATACTTATAATAAGAACTTTGAATAAGGACACAAAATATGGATATATTACTTGAGTAATTTTTTTCTAATATAGTGGAATTTCTCCGTAGACATTTCCTATTTTGAATAAAGTCTACATGCCACAAAATGACTTTTCTTTTTGAAAATATATCTTTCATAGGTAAATTCTTTCTTACACTAAAATTGAACATAATTTTTACAGTCATGATTGCTATTCTTACTTTTTTAAATGAACATAGTACATATGAGGAAAAGCAATCACGTCACAATACCATCGTACACTAAAGGAAAACATTCAATTAATTAATCAGAAAAAAACTATTTAATGATTCTTCAAAATTTTTAATGTAACAAAACTTCATAAATATATATTTGGATGAATTGTACAGAAATGTTTATTAAATTCACATATATCGATACGAAAACATTAATACAACACTTTGTTTCACAAAATAAAATTTTGTATTATTTTGAAAAGTTTTTGAGTTCATAAATATTATCGTAGCAAAACAGATGATATCTTCCATCGATGAACACTTTTCAAAAGTTTTGACTAGAAATATTATGGAACCAAGATTTGAAAGTTTGCTGAGACCATGAGAAAGACAACTTGTCTAAACAAAACTATATTATACATTGTACAAAAAAAAAGTGTAGAATAATAACCCTTCTTATCCGTTTATTACCATTACATAAATTTTTTTTAGGTTTATATATCCTTGTAATGTTTTCTGTTTTCATAAACCATTTTTGGATATATAAACGGAATAAAACGTTACGTCAAGCATTTATCATTGCACGTTTTAAACATAATCATAGAGTAATAAACTCTTCAATCTAGGGTTTATTCCATTCATATATCCAAAAATGATTTATGAACCAAGAAAATAGTACAAGAGTATATCAATTTGCAACGGATCAAGGTTTTGTCAAGGTATAGGAAGAGAACAAGTTTATGAAAAGGTAGATTACGCTCATAAATCAAAAATAGGTTTATATAATGGTAATAAATGCATAGCGAGGGTTCATTATTCTATACTTTTTTCTACAGTCTTATTAAATATTCTATGACTTTAAGCGAATCATCTTATAAGTTGGATCAATCAAAACATAATTTAAGAGAGACAACCCTAAAAAAGTATAATATTGTACACTTCAAAGCAAAGTACCTGTGGGCATTTTTCGGATAGCCTTCAAACAACAGTAAAGAAATAACTCGTGATAGCAACATGTAGTTCACTTTGATTGAAGTGAGAAAATTGGTGTAAGAATGGGTATAAGACTTAGGTTCGACAGAATCAATCAGTTATATCAGTCATGTCGAACAATATGAGACAGTATCTGAAGAGTTCGACATTTATATTGACGAATTTGAGAAAAAACCAGAGAATTATGATGACAATAGATAGAGTTCTAAGAGTACAGGTGATACTGATGACTAACGACTTTTTATAGTGAGTTAACGTAAATATCGTCGAATTTCTTTTCGTTTAATTAATTTGGATTCTTAAAATTTTTGCTATAGAAAACATCAATAAAATAAAGGTTCAATATCATCAAAATAAATTCAATGTATCATTTTCGATGACATTTAGAGTTGAAAAAAAATCCAAAGGTTAATAAGTCATATCACGAAGTTGAAGGCGAGTAAGAACACTATAGAAGAAAATATTTTGTTACCCATTTAGATTTTGAAAAAATTCGATGAGTAATTTTCAGTAAAATCTTTATTATTTTTTTGAGCAGAGGCAGATATCGATAGAGCGGCAACTGGACTATCATTTCATTATATTACAGTTGAGAAAGCATATTGCTTTTACGACAGTTTAAGCTTATTTTCAAAAACTCATGATATATTTAAGAAGAAAAATGACTGGAATTTATTATTGACTTTGCAAAAAAAAAAAAAAGAAGAGCAATATCGATTCTAGATAGTGCTATCAATTCGAGTTATTTCTCTCTTGTTGTTTTAAGGTTATTCGAAGTGGTTTAAGAGACGCTTTACTGTACATACTTGAATAATATTTACTGATAGATTATTATATGCTTCAATGAACTACATCCTCTATTTCACATTGAGTCAGTTATATCCTGTTAAAAACCAAATTCGAGCTCTGTCTTAAACTCTATTGAGCTAGAATGAAACATTATTAAATTAAAAAAAAATTCAAAGTCACAAAATCAACTAGGGAATATGGTCGTTGAAGCATAGAATAATATATATTATCAAACACAAATTTAAGACTATATTAAAAATAAAACTTAATGTGTATATCAATATTTTGCATTTTAAATTCGAAATTTTCATATTTATTATAACCATTGACCTTTATATTATTCATATACATCTGTATAATTTTGTTTCACTCATCATTTTTATATTTGCTATCAAAGAGAGATAAAAAAAAAAAGCAATTAATAACTATTTTCTTGTCGATAATTAGCATTGTTTCAAGTAAGCAAAAGATTTTCTAAATAAATTATTTCTTTTAAGCATACCTTTATACTAAAGAATACTGCACTAAAGAGTTTTTTTTTTGCTAAAATATCTCGAAATTAGAAACCTTCATTCAAACTAAAATATTTCCATTAAAAAAGAAAAAAAAAGAAATAAACGATGCACAATACAAATACGCACTATTCTCTTTTTTTTATAGCTAAATAAAGATACAAGAAAAGACAAAGAATTGTTACATTGATTAGATTGCAGGATAGATGGTCAACTTTTTTTTTTTTGGAATAGACATGAATTAATTTTTGATAAAAGACATAGGAAAGAAGAAAAAAAAGAAGAAGAAAGAAAACAATCGTCATTTTGCACTAATTTATTTGACTCGTTTGTTTCGTTCTTCTGGTGGTGTTCTGCAACCGAGTATGTAGCATACAATACTGATGACAGCAACGACGAAAAAGAAACCTAAATATATGAACAAAAAATATTGTATCATTGATTGATTGATTTATTTTTCTTCTTATTCGTATAACAACTTACAAGCAATTAAAAATTGAATTGCTGCCCAAACAGGAAAGAAACCATTGAGGAATGCATCTGGATCAGCACGACCACGATGATCACGTGTTATTGCAATGATTTCTTCTTTTGTTAAATCAAGACCTCTGAGATCAACACAATACACTAAAAAAAAATTAAATATAAATAACGAAAAAGAATAATAATAATTATTATTATTATTATTATTTGTACTAACCAGTTGTAATGACTGTTGCATAGATTAAGAAAAGACCGGCTAATGTAACAACAAATGAGTTCATTCTCCTTTTTGTTTTTTTTTTTCTTTTTATCTAACCAAACAAAATTCAATCTAGAAGATGTAAAATCATGTGTCGATTCAATGCATATGGCAAGGACATAACAAGCAGCAATCCGAACGCGAGAGTAATAAGAAAAACAAAATACTTTTCTTTTTTACTTAAGCGGTAACTTCTCACATTATTGACGTAGAAGCGAACGAACGCAAAAGAAAAAAAAATCCTGTAAGATATATTGACCGTAAATTGATGCAAAAAAAAAAACGAGACCTAAGAATATTTTTCTATTTCTTTATCAAGAAAAAAGAACGAGTAAAAAAAATCGATGAAATACAAGGTATATATATATATTTGTGTTCTTTGATAGTTGCAAAGAGCAAAACAAAAAATGAAATAGCCATGTATTTGTCTAAAGCGATGTGTAACAATAAAATTCAATAGATAAACTATATACATATAAAGTAAAAGAAATCAATGACCTTGACAAAACATAAAGAGAACCAATCTTAAATAAGGACTTTATGGTTAGTAGCGCTACTTGTATTGAAATATATGAAAAGTGATTCTAGCGTCTTCGATGTTGTAATTGGTTCCTATGATTATTCCAAACATTAGAGAAAAATATAGATGGAGTAATGTGTAAGGAACTGAACATCTACGAAGAACACTACGAAATAGACTTGCCAATCGAAATATGAAATATTTTTTTTTTGAAACAATTACACATATGATTGGAGTTATCCAAGCAAATTGTTTTTATTGTCATTTGAAGTACACAATTCCATATCAATATTGAAACTCGAGAACTACGTATTATTTAAAAGAATCATAAAACGATGGTTTCTTTAGTTTGAAACGAAAATAAATGTGTAAATATTTCATAAAGTCAGAGGGATAATTGCAAATCTCTTCTTGCCATAGAAGACACCACTCATTTAATTATTTTATCACAATATTGGACCTGTAATGGATTCATATACATTCTAATATGTCTATTTTTTATAATTTTTCTAAAACATCCATATCCTAGTATCTTCTTCAATGAGTAAACATGAACTGAGTAATATTCTACCATCACAAGTACGCATATTGTTTTATTATGATGAATTTTTTAGTATGTAAAACAATCAAATGAGAGCGTAAAAACTATTTAAATGTTTGCTTTTCACCATCATCTAAAAATCATTTAATTTGAAGAAAGAATGAATATTTTTTGATAATTCATTTGATGTCGTGAACACGATACTTTTTTCTCCAACAAAAAATTTTTTTTTTGAATTTTATGAATTAGTAAATGTTGGTTTTTAATGTCACCCTATTGTATATTATTGATGATAACACTCCATATATAATAATTCAATATATTGAGATCAAGGTTGTTTTGATGGTAATCTACGGTTATTTATAAAAAGCATAAAGTTCTCTTAACACCATGTCAATGATTCCGTATGTGTACATGGCTTGTGCCGTTCTCTTGTTGATTGATGAAATCATTGCCTAACACCCGCTGACTTTCAAATTGCGCACAATTTCAATATAAGTTTTATGTGAGAATATTTCATCGAATATAAATATAATTGAAGATCTAAGACTGTTTATACTAGAATTCTCTTTGGATATATAGTTTGTTCATCTACTTCTTATCGATTCACAATATGAACATGTTTGAATGAAAAGTAGTCTTTGTCAATGACTTAAATTTTTTTTCAAACGATGACATAACAAAGTGAATAACACGTTTTAACAAAAAAAAAATGATTATGTTCGTCGAGTTGAAAATTAGTCGAACAAAATTTTTTCCATTTTGAAAACAAAAGGTAAAAATATTCAGTAAACTTTTTATGTGAATAGTCTAGTAAAACGATTTAATAATATGAACAAGAATTAATTACTTGGTATATAAAAGTTCATCAAATCAATCACCTCGATTAGAAGAAAATAGTAAGTGTAAGTTTCGGAGTTTCACGGTTCCTTCCTCTCCATTACAGTCATGTAGCAATGATCTGCTGTCGATATAGTGAATATTTACAACAACTTTATTTTTCATTTAATTCAATGTTTGTCATAATAATAATGTTAACTTAAGAAAAACAAAATACCAAAATGAAAAATATAAACGAAGGAATATCAACAATGCAAACAAAAAATTCGACGCTCGTAAAAACAAACGAAAAAATTTCTGTTTGAAATACAGAAATAAATAAGACAAATCTTTACTTTGCTAATCAATTATCTTCAAACAAAACTATAATCTATGAAGAATTTTTCATCCCAACTATTTGGTATTAGTTTAATGAGGCTAAAGGACCAATATGAGTTCCACATGTCAGCCTTGAAAGGGCTGCGCTAATAAGCTTTTTTGTCTGTAACATGTGCCAAAAAATTTTTATGATATATAATTAATTAAGACCTATTAGGTCAATTCACTCAAATGAATCTCTTTCAAATAATAATAAAATTCAATAAACTTTTCTATTGTAAGTTGTATATAAGAAATACAACATATAATTATTCTAGAAGAAAAAAAGTATTCATTTAGTGACTTTATAATTAGTATCTAAAGTCAAGAAAATATTTTGCTTAATCCTAGTAGCGTAGCATATTGTTTACAGTCAACCTCTCTGTTTTTTTGCTTTTCTCTACACAAACACATACACACATGTACATGAAATATCTCTTGATGATGATTACCATTCAGACAAGTAGAGACATATCTATACAACGAACCAATCATTTTATTGATGAATCATTGATTGCATGCATACAATTTTCTACAGAAAATAAGAATAATTGAAAATATGTGTGATATTCGACCATATAAAAATCAAGTTTATGAAACACTTAAAAAGAAACATAATTCAAAAAATTTATTTGTTGATCCAGAATTTCCAGCAACAAATAAATCAATATATCATTCAGGAAAAGCTTTAAATGATGTTCAATGGTATAGACCACCGGTATAAAAATTGATTTTGAACGAAAAACAAAATAAAAAAGAAATAAAATTTGGTTTTGTTTTGTTTTTTTTTTCTTCTTAGATAGTTTATCGAAAACCTCAATTTGTAATTGATGGTTTTCAACGTGGTGATCTTGATCAGGGTGAAATCGGTAAATAAAAAATTTTATTTCTCGATAGATTAATAATATTATTTATAATTTAGGTAATTGTTGGTTTATTGCTGCTGCTGGTGCTGTAACACTTAATCCTGATCTTCTTCAACGTGTTGTTCCACCTAATCAATCATTTGATGAAAATGATTATGCTGGTATAAATTTTATTATTATTATTCGAAAAGGAAAAAAAAAATCAGATAATTTTATTTTTGTTTAAAAAAGGAATTTTTCATTTTCGATTTTGGTTATATGGTCAATGGTATGATGTTGTTATTGATGATCAAATACCATTTCATTCGGATGGTAGACTTGTATTTTGTCGTAATAAAAAAGATAAAAATGAAATGTGGGCTTCATTATTAGAAAAAGCTTATGCAAAGTATGAAATTTCTTTTTTTGCATACAGACAAAAAATTTAGTAAACTATGTTTTTTGTTTTTTTTTAAGAATATGTGGTTCGTATGAAGCGATGGAAAGTGGTCTTACAACAGATGCTTTAATTGATATGACAGGAGGAATTGAAGAAGCATTTGAACTTAATGATCCATCGACAGCAACTAATGAATTTAAAGAACAAGTCAAACGTGTTCTTTGGCAAGCTTATTTACGTAAATCAATGCTTGGATGTTCAATTACAGTAAAAAATAAAAAGATTTAAAATCGTATAAAAAGTTAATATATTTGTTATTTATGAATATTTTAGGCTGATCCAAGAGTTACTGAAGCTCGACTTCCTAATGGTCTTGTTAAAGGTTTAATCTTATTCTATTATTTATATATGATAGAAATTTAAATTATGATTTCTTATTTTTAGGTCATGCTTATTCTATAACACGAGTTGCTGATGTAACAACTAGCTCTGGTCCTATTACTCTTATTCGATGTTTAAGTATGATTTATTTTTTCTTAAAGTTTTGTTATTTTATATTTAATTTAGATCCATGGGGAAATGAAACTGAATGGTTAGTTAATTTTATTAATTATTTAAAGTAAAATAATATTTGTTTGATTTTTTAAGGAATGGAAAATATTCAGACAAGTAAATATAATAAATTAAAATAAAATTAATTTTAATTTATTATTTAGTTCAAAAGCATGGGATGAAATTAGTAATGAAGAAAAACAAGAATTAGGTGTACATGCATTACATGATGGAGAATTTTGGATGAGTTTTGATGATTTTTTTGTTAATTTTCATCAATTACATATTTGTCATCGAGGACCAGCTAGTTTAGGTACAACAGAAGACGATGCTGGTGTTTGTACATGGAACAATTTATTTCGAGTATGAATTCAATTTCGAGATGAAATTTATGTTTATGACATAATAGAAAAAGTATACAAAGAAAGAAAAAATGTTCTTTTATAAAAAGTTAAATTACACCTTGAACGAGCTTATTACGAGAGTACAGAATATACCATTATGTATGAATGTGTCTTTGGAGAAGTTTTCTCTGTAATTCTGATCTATTGTATTATAAATTTCTAATATGAAATAATTCTATTTACTACTGACGAGAGAATTTCATCAATTGATTATTCGCTTTTGAGTCAATTGTATGTACATCACGTAAAAGTTATCAATACTCTCCAAAGAGTTTAAGCTCTTAGCTTAATATCATGGCCTCCTTCAGGAACATCAGAACAACTTGTTTTGGAATTTCGACTTTAAATATTGTATACCTTATATTAATAATTCTAGATTTTGTATAAAGTACGAGTATTTTGAAAAATTTAAGGGACACTGATGTTAGGTGAAGTAGTTCTGAAACTTTTTGTACAAACTAAATTAGTTGCAGTCTCAATATATGAAAAGTTCAAAAATACGATTCTATTGGAATATACCATCTTGAAATTTTCCTAATCGACAGACTTGTAACTTATGGGCG